AAAATCTATGGGATGATATTTTTAAAAGATCTCTATCTCCAAATCGACCGATATCATCAGTAATTCTTCCACCTCGAACAATTTTAAAACAAACATTACCGCCCAGAACGACGGTGCCATTTTCAGTAATTATTAATGAAGCACATGCAGCTGAGATTGCTTCATGGATTGATAAAAGAGAATATTCTGTAAAAGATAATCCATATGAATTTAAACTACTTCTTCGTGGAACCAGAGATGGTTTTACCAAGGATTTATTTTGGAAGTTATGCGATAATAAAACAAATGTTGTTGTAATTGTGAAAGTTAAAGGCACTGACGAAATTCTTGGAGGATATAATCCTATTGGATGGGATAGACCGGATTTTGGTGGGAAACATCAGAATTGCAATGAGAGTTTTATTTTTTCGTTGAAAAATGGAACTATTCAATATTCAATTTTAAGCCGTGTGAAAACCCCACAAAATGCAATTTATTGCCACCATAGTTGTGGTCCAATTTTCGGTGGTGGTGGCCGCAGTGATTTAGTAATTTATAATTCTTCTAATCTATGTTGGAACTATTTAAATTTATATGAAAAACGAATTAGAGATGAAGCTACTTATGATTATTATGGCTCCTCATATTTTTCAGTGGAAGAATACGAAATATTTCAGGTTATGTAGTAAAAAGTCCTAAAATTCTTTTCACCTTTAGGTTTTATCAATAGTATGAATAAATGTCAAAATGAAAACCTAAAAATCTTATCTACTAATATTCTTAGATAATATATTTTCAAAAACAAAGCTTTCTAAATGATTAATAACTAATAAACAATTAATATGGATTGAAGATGAAATTCTAAAATCGAAAATTATAATAGCTATTATGATGCGTCAATTCATAGTGTAAATGTTGTAAGTGGGAACAGATTTTAAATTGATTTGGAATTTTTAATGTTAGGATTGATTTTTTTAGTATAATTATTCCATTCTAATCTAAGTGGATTCCGAACTCTATTATGACGCTATTCCCATCAACTTTGGTAAAGCTATTGAATCTCTAAAAAAGTGTCGTATTTGCGTCAAGAATCAATATATCATGTCATACCATCAAGTCACAATATCAAGTCACACCATCAAGTCACAATATCAAGCCATACTATCAAGTCACACCGGTACATGATTGTTTACCAATCACTATCGTTATAATTATTAATTGGTTTTAATTGTTTTCATTTGATCTATGTATGATGAGATTTATTGAGTCAATGCGAAACTTTAAACTTTTTTTTTTTTTGCGTTTAGGCTTTTTATTATAGAAATTTTTTAAGTATCGATTTCCGTATTTTAAGCTTTTTTTTTTGATTTAAAAAGATTGTAAAATAATCAGATAACCTAAAAACAGCGACAAAGTAAATAAAAATTTAGCTCCATTAAATTAACTGTAAATCAACATATGACTAATTAAAAGTGAGAAACTAATTTTTTGAAATTATTCGAAAAGTTTAGTCCGAGTCGATTAGGCATGTTTATCATAATACTAGCTTTACCATTATGCTTTACCATAATTGAATAGAAATATCGTACATAGATGCATGTTAAAAACTTTAGCTAGAAATGGATAACACTCATTTATAACCGTTAGTTATCAGGTGATAATATAAACAAAAATATCATTATATGTAATTATCATTCCATCTATAATACAAAAGATTATTTGTTTTACAATTTAACAAATTTAAAATTAATGTTGAACAGTTATTTTCTAGTTTCAAATTTTTATGATAGAATTTGTTTTATATAACTTTAGCTCCGTAAATAACTGGTTCGTTGGATACACCAATATAAGCTATTAAGAAGTTCATAGTTATTGAAAAGAACTTTTTTTTTTTTAGATTTTAGCTTTTGTATGAATAAGTTGTTAGATCAGAATTTGGTTAGAAGATTAGGTTAAGATGTAACCTAAAATTCTAATTTTATCTTACTATACACATCATCATTAACTGCAGAGTAACCTTTAATTTGGTATTACAGTATTACCGTACATATTTTAATTCATAGTGATAGAACTATTGTCCGACTGAGGTTGGAAATTTCTTGTGAGAGTGTAAGATACAAACCCAAAAAGGGAAACTAGCCAATCGAAGAATACATATTATGTTTATCCGAATTCAATTTTTTGAAATTATAACAATTTAATTATTTGAGCATGTAAATATTTATTCTAAATATTTAATCAAATTTATAAGCTGAATCCATTTGTGCACTTCAGATAAGCTGAATCCACATGCACATTCACATTTGTTTCGGAAATTTTGTTGCAGCTTGCAGACTTCGAATCCCAACTTTGTATACTTGTGCATTGAGCCCTACACGTGTGCATAGCGAAAAAAAAGAGAAAATATGTATGAACGTTAAACTTGCTTTTGAAATAATGACAGGAATGAAATTTTATATAAAGTGAAGGAATATTAATTCCTATAGACTTTGACTAACAGGAGGAACGGCCCGGTGTGCAACATAGAAAAAAATTATTTTACAATACCAGATCATTCCACTAGTACATGTTATGATTATAATCCCACACCATTTTATTATAATAAAATGGTGTGGGATTATAATCATAACATGTACTAGCGGAATGATCTGGTATTGTAAAATAATTTTTTTCTATGTTGCACACCGGGTGGAGGATCAATCGTGTAACATCGACGGTTCCTCCTGTTACTCTAACTACCATAAATTCCTAGTTCACGTACGTACTGTACGTACGTACGTACGTAGTTTATTTTATGTTTCCTTTTTAGAGTTTATAAATAAGTATTTCCATTTCAAGCGCCTAAGTTCTCAAAATTAGATGAAATTAGTAATGTACTACAATTATTTAAATTTGCAGACGTTAACTTCAAGTATAACGCTATTACTGAATTATGTTAGTATGCATTATGTTATTATGAAAGATGAATTTGAAAATCTAATCAACCTGGTTTGTATAGTAAATATTGAAATATTCTTTACAGAATTCTTTACAGAATTCTTTACAGAATTCTTTACATAATTTTTTATTGTTAATTGTAATTATTGAAAAAAAATCGATTTATCCTACCGTTATTGCATACTCTTACAACTGATCCTTATCCCTGCAAAAGAGATAGAAGAATAACTTTATTGTAGTGATTATATTGAAATTACTTAGTGGTTTAAATTTAACATTGAAACTATTGTGGATTTGTTGAAAATATTTTCTGAAAATATTCGTAAAAGTATTCAACGCTATTACAGTATTAGATTGCCTCAAATATTAACTCCGAAATACTTGAAATACTTTCGGAGGTGCCACAATAGTTTTAATTCATATATAATGATTATGTACAATAATCTTGTATAATGTAACCCTGTATAATGTAACCCTGTATAATGTAACCTTGTATAATGTAACCTCGTATAATTTATAATATGATTCATTCAAGTTCTAAAAAAAAAAAAGGCGAACAATAATAAATTTCCAATAATGATAAAGTTCAAGTAACACCAAATAATGCCAAGTTCTCACCTCGCACAAAAAAAAAGATGTTTGGTTGCTAATAAACAAAGAAAGACGAATACTTTCATAAGAAATGTGATACAATTCAACTTATTATAACAAACTCTTTGTGCATGTGTAAAACCGTTAACCTGTAACCAGTAACCTTGTTGAAGGAAAATTATTAGGATGAAACTTGAACAAATCGTTATTTATCATTTATAGTTAGGCTCTATTCTATAGATACAATGTTAAATTATTTTATTGCTTTGATATGCAGGTGTTGACATAAAAATATATCGAAATTAGAAATTAATCTAAATAGCTTATTCATTAACAACTTTTACACGTATGTATGTCTAAACTTAATTATTAAGAACACAATAGTTACCAAGAAATTGACACTCAATTGCTCGCAAATTCTGTATAACATTAGATGAATAATACACATCTATAATAAATACGATGCCATCTAAATTTATCTCAAGTTTTTTTTCTTTGTTTGTGTATTTTTTATTAACTAAATATTCATTCATTTCTTAATTTTTAACGTTCATTCCTTTTCTAATACGTATTTTAATCCATATTCCATTACATACGTATCCGGATACCTATTCTTAACCATTATATATTATCGATCTCCTTAATGTTTGCTTCATTCATCTCTAAAATTCTCACTTTCTTTACTATTATTATTTGTTTAACCGCGTTAGTCACCTTAGCTGGATCGGTTCCTGATTGTCCATTAACGCAAAATGTTAATGAAAAAGAGAAAAAATTTATTATACAATTTAATTCAGCAATTGCTGCAAAGAACTTTTACACAATTTTAGACCTTTGTAATAAAAAAATTAAAACTTATGTGGATTTTTCAAATATCAAATCGGATCTGAAAGATAAAAGTATTATTCTGGATATTAGTTTTTGGGAATTTCATGCTTGTATTGGATACTTTAAACCTAGTGATGTTGCTAACTTATTGACTCTTGATGGTATTCTTCGCATCGAAAATGATATTATGCTTAAAACAACTGCAAAGATTCCATCTTGTCTTAGTACAAGACAGAAACCTAACCCCGTATGCATATTTTTATTAAATCTCCCAAAATAATCAAAAATAATCAAAAATAATCAAAAATAATCAAAATAGATAGATAATTATATTTTTTATTTTAAAATAGAATTTGGATCGTATTGACCAAGAACACTTTCCATTGGATGGCGAATACACATGTCCTTCTAGCGCTGGCTCCCAAGTAAAAGTTTATATTGTTGACACGTAAGTCATTGTGATACAAGTGATCAAAATCAATATTCTGCAGATATGCTTAATTTTTCGTATCTATGCATATGCATATATATGTACACACATACATACAGAGGCATTAAAGTAGATCATGAAGAATTTGAAGGACGAGCAACCTTTGGAACAACTACCTGTAAAGATTGTCCTGATACCGACGATCATGGGTACTTCTTCTATTTTATTTGCTTAATTAATGTTTTCTTAAATTTGATAAATACAGTATAACATATTCAGTATAAAATTGTTTTTTTTCCTAAAGCCACGGAACGCATGTTGCAGGAATTGTAAATATTGCAAATTTTTATAATAAATCCTTAACTTCATGTATTCAAACTTTTAAAATCTTTAATAATTTCATTAATATCGTTAATATCATTAATAGGTCGGAGGTACGTAATCAATTAAAAATCCGTAATTATATAATATATTATCACCAAAATGAAAAATTTTTTAATACTTGTTCAAAATTAATCCAGGTAAAACTTTCGGTGTGGCAAACAAAGTATCCCTGATAGCCGTTAAAGTTTGTACTTCTCAAGGAAACTGTGCAACATCTGATGTCATTTTAGGACTGGACTATATAGCAATGCAATATTCAAAAAGTTCTAACAAAAAGGCTGTGGTCAAGTAAATATATATATATATCTATATATATAATTATTTAATTGGATTTGTAAAAAAAAATTTTTATTTAAGTTTTCATTTTATAGCTTGTCTTTAGGTGGTCCCGCTTCACAATCTTTCAATGACGCTGTTGAGTCGATAATAAAAATGGGTATTCATGTTGTCGTTGCTGCAGGAAATAATAATGATGATGCTTGCAATTACTCTCTTGCATCAGCCTCTGGCGTTATAACAGTTGGCGCTACTGAAGATACTTCGGATAGTGTAGCCAGTTTCTCAAACATTGGTCCATGTGTTGGCATCTTTGCTCCAGGTGATAATTAAATTTCAGTTAAATACTAAGAAAAGATTCATTTACATATGTGTTAACAACTTATTATATAAAGGTCGTAATATTCTTTCTGCTGGAATAAATAGTGAAACTGCAATATATTCAGGAACTAGTCAAGCAACACCTCATGGTTCGTAATTAACTTTATATTCTAGCATTAAATTTCTTTGTAAAAGTTTTTTTTTTTAAACCACTTATTTATTTATTTATATATTTATTCGTTAATTAGTTTCAGGAGCAATTGCTTTAATAATTGAAAATACTGGAAATGTATCTCCATCTCGAATGAAACAAATTATAGATGATTTAGCAACAAAAAATATTGTGACCGGTATTGACTCTTCTACCCCAAATAATTTCTTACGAGTTCCATTTACTTGTAGCAAATAAATCGTTTCATAAAGAAATGCTTAAGTAGAATTAGATGCTTATTTTTACTGTATTTAAATAACTTTAATAAAATAATAATAGAAAGTTTGGACCTTTAATAATTTCTTTTATTATTATATCATTATTTTGAATTCACATCTCAAGCTCCTAGTTTAGAGAAATGCACTCACATACTTCAGAATACCTAGTAAAACTTAAATCAATTGATAAGTAAGAAATAAAACGTCTACCATAAATTTGTTACACATTTTACTGGTTTTGCTGCGGTAGTTCCCAATGCCATTTAATAGATTCTATTTATCCATAAAACATTTCTCTAAATTCAAGTTCATAATGACTGTTTTCTTGATAACAATGGCTACGATCCTCCGACCATACATCTTATGATAAAAGTGGTTTATATCTTTCAATAGAATAATACGACATAATAGTTAAAAATATCTCTAAAATAAGGTATACATTGACAAGTACAAAGTAGCCTGATTAAGGGCATAGACTTTTTTGGTTAATGAATCAATAGAAATAAACCAATTCTTTGTTATAAAATTTTTTTAAAAAACTTTGAACAAGGAAGGATAATCCAACAAAGAATTACCTTTGAACAAGGAAGGATAATCCAACAAAGAATTACTGTAGACTGTAAAATGTGGAAAATAAGCGCAATTTGCTTTACTTTTTCAATCTCAGATTGACGGAATTAACTTTGATAAAGATTTTATTGCTATTTCACTAATTTGAAATTGAAAAATTAGGATAGAGGGTGTTGTGCTTATTTTTCATATTTTTTATATATTACGGTAAGTTTAAAAAAAACTTACATAAATAAAATATTGCAAAAAAAGAGACTTTTTTTTAAAGAAATTGCTTACCTTACGGTCTAATTTTTTAGTAAAACAATACTATTTGCCAAATTTTTTGTTTTCCAAAATTAGGAATGGCTTGTTTTCGGAGTTTTCAAATAAATTATACATTTGATAGCTAAAACAAGGTTTTTTCTGGGATGTGCGAGTGAGAATTAATTATTTTGAATATGTATGAGTTGCTTTTTAAGGGCTTGAAGAGCTGAGTAGATTTAGATTATATCATAATTTTTCGTTACATGTCTCAAACAAAAGTTAAATGTTACATTAGTGACAATCATTTAAAGCTAATCTCAGAATTAAAGATGAATATCAACAACGTTTTTTTTTTAATTTTAATAAAATTGATTTTCCCTTGGTCATGTCAGGTCAATGCTATTTAGACAGCATAGTGAATAGCATAGTGTAAAAAAAGCTTCTATACACCATCTTTCCCTACCAAAAAAGATGTTAATTATGCCCAAAAAAAATCGATAAATTTATATTAAAATTAGCTAAATCAAGTAGCGCAAAATACGAGCAATTTTTTTTAATAGGTTAATTAACAATAATTATTAGGTTAAAATTAATAAATTAGTAGATTCATAATAATTAACCAAATAAAGTAATGATAAGAATAGGAAAAACAATATTTCATTACTACAAAGAAAATATAAAATAATATAATCATTAATTAATAAAATAGTTTCATAATGCAACATACAAAAAGATGATGATAATAGTGAATTATAGCAGATTAGTATGGTATGTTTTTTAAAATAGGTGCAATACATCCTCATACTATTCTGGTCACTAGTACCGCATGTACATACATATACTGACATCATCAAATTATATAATATGCGTGTGAGTTCAAATGAAATTTCATAATTACAGTCAGATGACCTTAAATGCAACTTTCTTAAATGCAGTCTATGAAAAACCTCTTTAAATGCATAGTTGTGTTTGGCTCCAACTCATACAATGCATATATATATAGATTTTTACCTTCTTAAATGCAATTCCTCCCTAAATGCAATACCTCCCTAAACGCAATGCCTCCCCAAATGCAATGCCTCCCCAAATGCAATACCTCCCTAAATGCAATACCTCCTAAATGCAATACCTCCCTAAATGCAAACTTCCCTAAATGCACTACCTCCCTAAATGCAATACCTCCCTAAATGCAATACCTCTCTAAATATGATATCTTCCTAAATGCAATACCTCCCTAAATGCAATGCCTCGCTAAATGTAATGCCTTCAATGCATTTTTTCATATAGACCCCTCGGCTATGCATTTAGAGAAGTTTAACTGCACATTTTTTATACGACTATACAGTTCACCCTGTCAAACCCGATCCTGTAAAACCGAACCTTCAAAACCGATAACCTCCCATAACTGATAAAAATTAGTCTGTCATTCTCATTCCATAATATAAATCTGTTGGCCTGTTATTTCTGATAACCAATATTCAAAAAAATATATCTACTGTACTAGCTTTCGATGATCAGGGTCAAGTTTTTAAATTTTTTATATTATTTGGGTTCAAATAAACCTGAATTGGGTTTATTTAAACTCAGATTTGGTTTATTTGAACCCGGATTGGGTTCAAATAAACCCAACTTGTGTTTACTTAAACCCAGATTGGGTTTAAATAAACTGATTTGGGTTTACTTGAACCCAAATTGGATTCAAGTGGATCCAACTTAGGTTCACTTGAACCTGGCTTGGGTTTAAGTAAATCAAACTTGGATTTATGTAAACCCAGGTTAGTTTAAATAAACTTGACTTGGGTTACTTGAATCTGGGTTGGATACAAGTAAACTTGACTTGGATTTACTTGAACCTGGGTTGGGTTCAAGTAAACCTGACTTGGTTTACTTAAATTTTACTTGGTTTAAGTAAACCCAACTAGATTTACTTAAATTTTGTGTTGGTTTCAAATTAATTTAAATTTGGTTCATTTAAACCTAACTAGATTTATTTGAACCTAGTATTAGTTTTAAGTTAATCTAAATTAGGATTACTTAAACCCTAGATTAAGTTGAAGTAAATTTAGCTTGAGTTTACTTGAATTCAAATTAAGTTTATGTAAATTTTGGTTGGGTTTAAGTAAATTCAATTTGGGTTTATATCATACTAAATTGGGTTCAAATAAATTTAAATAAATTCAACTTTGATTTATTTGAATTTAGTTTAATTTAAATAATTTAACTTAAATTTACTTAAATTTAAATTGGTTTAAATAAATTTAATATGAATTTACTTAAACTTAAATTAGATTTAAATAAATTTAACTTGAATTTACTTGAATTTGAATAAATCTACTTTGAATTTATTTGAATTAGATTTAAATAAACTCAGATTAAATTTAGTTTTTTGAGTTTTTTTTATTAATTTTATTAATTTTTTTAATTTTTTAATTTTTTATTTGGAAATATTATTATAGTGCTATAGTATTGCAATGCTATTTTTATATAATCAGTTTTTTTAATAAAATAGGTTTAATATTAATGAATATAGTGCTATAATACTACTTTATATAATTTATTAAATAAATTTTGCTAGATAACATATTTTGACCACCTTGATCTTTTGCTTTGTATTCTATATTTAATTATTTTTTTGCATTTTACTTATATTTAGTTATTATTATTTTTTTTTTTGGTTTTAAGGTGACCTCTTGGTCGATTCTCTTTATTCAGTTATTAGTCAAGTTTTACTATACGCTAAGCCCCTTACGACACCCGTACAGTATACATATTTTGGAGAGTACAAACTAGCCACACGTACAACTTTTGATTG